CCTATCCAAAATACCTAATCTCATTTTAACTAGACTCCGTCTGAACATCAAGGATACTAAGCTACCCCATGAATAAACATGATGTTACAACGTGAAACCCTGGGACTGAAGTATATAAAAATGTAACTGAAAGAGAAGAATGAGAACCCCCCCACCCCCTCCCACGCCCTCCCCAGGGAGCTTGAGAGTTGAGCAGGGAGGGGTGCAAGCAGCAGATTTAAATTTCAAGGTCTTCAAACATTTTTCACGTTCATATTAAATCCTGCAAAACCAAAAACTGTAATTCTAATAAAAACCTTGTGTGTGTGGCTTCCAATTGTAATCACAGTTTTCTCTTTTGGAGTGGGATGTGTAATGTTGATAAAAGGAAAAAATAAAAAAAAACCTCGAAACAGAAGAAATGCATAATGGAACCCACACTTTCCTGGAGTTTGTGGTACTTTATTAAAATTAGTGTATTACCAGCAGGAAAAAAATATATATACTTTAAAACAGCTTTATTGCAATGGAGACATGTTGGGTCATTTGAGAAAAAAAGGTACAGAAAGTTAATCTACGAGAATGAAGATTTTTTGTAACTTGATAAACTTTCTTAAATTCTATAGTAATCCAACATCAGTGAAATCCTTTCACTAAAAACAGAGGTCACTATGATGTGTCCCATATTTTACCTATATTTTCATTTCACAGACCTCAGGAAATGAAAAAAAGACTGCTTTTTGTGAATACTGAAGCTTTTTACAGAACAAATTCTGGTATCTGCAGACCATGTTTTTTCTAGCCTATCTGACTGCACTCTGTGAGCAATGCTAAACTAACTATATAATTGGGCAGTTGTGTTCTTCCCAAATACATCTGGGACAGCAAGACCATGCAAATAGGAGAATTTTGGAAGACGTCGGGTAAATCATGGTAACACACACAACATAAATGTCACCCCCTTCCTACTGCCTGGGAATTACAGTGACCAACAGTGACGCAAAGCTCAAAGAGTTTCTCTTAATTTCATTTAAAGCCAGGGGCTGGGGGGAGTACACCCACATATTTCTTTATGAAATTCCACTGAGATTCTGACGTTGCAAATAAATTTTATTTTCCAGAACACCCAATAGCATTTAAAACATATTTTGTGTTGTTTTGGTTTGCTCTGTGATACATTCATATTCCTTTTAAAAGGCTCTATAATCTCTTAGACATTTGGTTTCCTTTGCCACAAAGATTAGGCATCTAAGTCACATCATGGTAAAATAAAGGTGGAGAATGTCCCCACATGAACGCTTATAGGGGAACGGAAGGCAGATTCCCAAAGCAGCTTCAGGGCATAGCAAGACCCCAGAGGCACTAGGATCTTGTTTCTGGGGAAGGGTGCTAATTCCAGTGACATAGTTCTCAAACTCTCTCCTCTTCCACCTACTGACTCATTGACTGGCAAGTTAACAAATGTTTACTGAGTACCTATTTTGTCCCAGGAACTGGGAGCTCCGAGCGCTACTTTAAAACAAGATTGGCAGAGTCTCTGCCTTCAGCTTTTTCTCCACTATGACTTCATTGTTTTCAGTACTGTTTGTGAGTCTGAACTGAATACCATGAGCAAAGAAATCACGTCTGTGCTCTTCATGCTGGGTTCACAATACTTTCTCGTACAAAAGAAAACCAAACCCAGGACTTTTGTAGCATTTGAAATTTTGGAGAATTTTAGGGGTACCACAAGGTAATTTTCAAATGAGGAACCATTTTCAAATGAGGAACCATGATCTACGCCAAATAGTTTTAGGAAGTGACAGAAACAAGAAAGGAACAGGATTACCTCCCAATCCAATGCTCTTTAAACTCTCACTACCCAGTTTCGGAAGGACTTTGATTTGATTTAATTGGAAGAAATGCACCAATCACAGGACAGAATGCCTGGGGGAGGGAGGGTTAGCTATGGAAGGATAGGTAAACCCCATGGTTCTTTACCACTTTCTTTCCTTTCCATAAAGAATTCCATAAATTTCTAGGAAATTTATATGAACCTGATTATAATTTACTCATCAACATTGATTTACTATGATTTCTTCCTAGCCAAGTCTATGTTCAAAAAGGAATGGGGGGGCAGCCCGGGTGGCTTCAGCCCAGGCCATGATCCTAGAGACCCAGGATCAAGTCCCACGTCGGGCTCCCTACATGGAGCCTGCTTCTCCTTCTGCCTGTGTCTCTGCTTCTCTCTCTCTCTCTCTCTCTCTCTCTCTCTCGAATAAATAAATAAAATCTTAAAAAAAAAAAGGAATGGGGACTTGAGAGTCTTACTCAAATTGTGTGTGTGTGTGTTGTTGTTAAGAATCAATGAAATAATACCATGTAATATAGGATCAACAACCAGAAGACAGAGGAGAAAAAGGTGAGTCTCTCTCGCCAAAAAGATTGAATGCATTGGTTAAGTTGCAAGAGTCACTCAATAATCTATTTGATTTTGTGTGTGAATAACCTAGTAACTCTTGCTGGGTATTATTATATTTAGTTTCAACCGTCTCTAGGATTCAGAACAACTTCATCATCAATAATCATAGTTCGGTGAAGGCACAATGTAACTTTCTCATGAAAAGTTTTTTTTTTTAGCTAAACATTTTCTTTTCCAATTACAAACTGTGACCAAAATTTAATACCTAATGTTATATTTAAATCTCTTAGGAGAAATTATTTTATTCTCTCCTTTTTTTCATATGAAATGAAAACAAATTGATGGCCTTTGGGTTCATGACATCTTTTACTGTTTGGCAAAGAGAAAAGAAGTGTCAGGGCAATTATTTGGATAATTGTAAAAAAGATCTAATTAAGGGGGTAATGTTCGGGGTTGACTCTAGAACATACCAGAAAACAGTTCACAGTACTTTTTTGTCATGGTCAGAGAGGTTTTAAAAAAATCTTTCAGATTTGTCACAGCAAGCTTTCCTCTCCTGTTTCTTGGCTATGAAGCTGTTTTTTTCTACTCAGAGGAAAATCTTTAAAAGTAATACCCCATAATCCAAAAGATAGGAGTTCTTGAGTTCAGCTCTCACAAAAGATAATGTGACATTTTTTAAGAGACATACTACAAATGGGGAACTTTTCAAAGGTTTTTCTCTCAAATGGGAAACAAATGTGGGATCTTTCTGCATCTGCAGATTTTCGTGAGGGCCAGGACAGGGAAGTGCCCCGGATAACCTAGCTCTGAACTGGCCAAGTGATAATTTTGGAGCACAAGGCAGCACAGATATCAAGGAAAACTGCCTGTTCTCCTAACCAAGGAGGATGGCAGCAAAACCTCATTCCACAACTTCTCAGAAACTTTCTAAAACCTAAGCTGGACGCAGGTTATTTTTGAATCCTGCTCAAGAACCAAGCCTTAATGGCCCTCATTCTCCAGTTTTCAACCAAGTACATTTTTAAGACCCCTTGAACTCCAAATTTGTATGGCAATTAATGTGCATCTGAAGTACAAGACATTTCCTATCTCCCTAATTCTGATAAGCAGGCTATGACAACCAATAGTTTACGCAAGAATTTAAGAATCCAACAGATAGTTCCAAAAACACTGAATGAAATATACAACCTTGCAACACACACGACAAAACACAGGAATATCGTTTAGGGTCAACAGGTCAGCACCCTAAGCAAAACAGGGCTACGGGCTTCTGAGAAGAGCAACAGTATCATCAATGATATTTAACTTCTATGATGTATGAATATATAAAGAAAATAGCAGTGCTAAAGACAACCCAGTTTAAAAAAAAGAAAAATCAGTCCTTGTCCAGCAGTTAGCCAATCAGAAAGCAGGTCACATCTTGTTAGCTGTATTAAATACATCAAGCGTCCTGAATTCTCCATGGCTCTGTTGACAATTTAGGCAAGTATGTTTTATTTTATCATACAACATTGGTTTGAGTCCCCCTTCCAGAGCTGAGAGTCAGTCTCCAATCTAAAATTCCACCAAAGCTATTTCCCCAAAGCTCTTTGCCATCAACCCTCTGGGTATTTGCACTCTGGCAGAGGAGACGGGATTCCCAGCGATTTCTACTTCCTCAAGTGACTTTGGTGCACCTACAACTAACTCCTGCTCAGAACACTTCAGCACAAAGCCCCCACTTACAGGCAAAGGGACAGCCCAGCAGCAAGACCTGCCAGCCCAGCTAGCACAGAGAAAAAGTCAACTGGCATTAAATATTTAAATTGCAGGAGGCAGTCTGGAGTTTTGCATTTACAAAGTTCTGAAAGTCCTGTTCTCCTCTCAGCTCCCAGAGTTGCTGGCCGGGGAGGCAGAGGCTCGCTCCCCCTCTCAGGCACCAGATTACAAATATGCAAAACTCGAGCTGACTTGAATGCAGAGCCAGCTCCGAAGGAAGGTAGAGCTCCTGGGGAGACACTCCCATCAGCGACCAGAGAAAGTGGAGAACCCCCTTGCCCCGAGCAACTGGTTTCTGAATTTCACACGGAAATACACAAACAATGTGTCCCTCCAGGGCTAGTTCTGAAAAGTGTATGGGGTTACCCCGCTGCCCCCTCCACCTCGATTTTGCTGACTTTGAAAAGCAAATGCAGGTCAAAGCAGACTTCCTCGGGGATTTGTGGAAAAAAAATCTCTTTTGCCAGATGCAAATGATCCCCCAGATCCCTTGGAATTGTATCTCACGAAACGCCAGCGGGACCGACTAACGAGCCTGCAAGCCCCAGAGTTGGGGAAGAACCAGCATTTCTGGAGACCCGGCAGGCGAATCAAGTGCCGGGCTGCCCATTTCAGGATTCCGGCAGAAACTGTCCCCAGCTCCAAGAGTTGCTGCGCCTGGAAAGCCAGCGTCCAAACTACTGGGTTCATCCTGGCGCTCGTTTCCACGTCCGTGGTAGTATCTAGTGGGACACTTCCCGCAGAATTCAGCCAGCGACCCGGGAAAAGCCCATGCACAGTTTAAAAAAAAAAAAAATACAAACACACACACACACACACACCACACACACACACACACACCCGAGGCTGAAGTACTTACCTCTGTGCGAGACTGCAGTCTCTTGTTCATCTCATAGATTCGGTACTCTGGCTGCACCATGTAGGGTGTATGTCTCCTATAAAATGGGCCGAAAGGAGAAGAATAGAAGGGGTCATGTGGTGTGCTGGACATCTTGCCTGCTTGTCGAAAATCAAGCTAAACAGAGTATCAGTAACGTCCATGCAGAGCACATGGGCTGTGTTCCTCACAGTACAAAGTAGACGCACGCACACGCTCACACACACACACACACTCACACACGCACACACACACACAGAGGCGGGCAGGCAGGCAGGCTGAACACACTGGCTGGGAACTGCTGTTGGAGCCCTCTATAGCAGGAGAGGAGAGGGAGAGCGGGAGGGAGGGAGGGAGGGAGGAGGGAGGGAGGGAGCACGGGAGAGGAGGGAGAGGGAGAGAGCAGGAGCTTCAGGGAGGGAGGGAGGGAGGTTGGTAGGGAGGAAGGGAGGGAAGGAGGGAGGGAGGGAGAGAATGAGAGGGAGAGAGAGAGAGAGACAGAGAGAAGCTGGATAGCTTTAGGCACCACTGCTTGTTTTTAAAGAAGCAGTTTGTGGAGAGGTCATTTCCTGTCCACACTGTAGACTAGTTCAAAAATACAATTCTCCTCACAGTCTGACAGAAGTCTAAGGCTCGGTTTTAATTTTTTTCCTCCAGCCAGGACCCCTCACAACCTGATTGCTGAGCTTGTTAGCATATAGGTGGTTTAACCGCTGCCTGAGCCACTCACCCCTGACAGCCGCACGGTTGTAATGTATCAGAAATGTGATTACTACAAAATACAGCAACACCGCACCCTGGTCCCCCGTATCAGAGCAGGCGACTCACTCGCATGCCAAGATTTCCCAAGCACTCATCTCCCTCTATAGTTTTGGTTTTACTTGCTGTTGTTCTAAGGGCTTGTTCCAGCCTTTGCATTTCGCCCCCTCCTCACCCTGGCATCTCACCCCCTCCCCATCAACCCTCTTCTCCAAAGGCTTCACTCGGGGCAGGTTTAAAGGGGGCCTGGGTTCAGGTTACGGAAGCATTTTCAGGTAAAAACAATCATTTGGAAGGTGGAATGCCTCAGTTACATCCATGGGGCAGTGGCTTTTTTTTTTTCCCCCTTCTTGGAAAGAAACAAAAACAAACAAGCAAAAAGCTACTCCCAAAGCCAACCTCCGAATGAGATAGGAAAAGCAAGGAGAGAACACCCACAAAAATGACCATGGAAAATTCAGTTGAGTAGGAAATTGCAGATAATTGAATGGCTCATCCCCAAATAACATGTCCAACTCTGATGGAGGCAAGGTCTTTATTTTACAAGATTGGTCAAGAACATAAATCTTTTTGCAACTGAGGTATATGATAACGGGAAGTAAATCTGCAGGGCTCAGGGAGGGGTAAGGGTCTCTACAGGGAATTAAATGATCTATATGACAATCAAATTCTACTGGAACCAATGATAACCAGACATATACCCTTAAACAAAGCCCATACACGGAAAATGTAAATGTATTGAGCTAATACCTAGCTAGGTCTGTGGTATTACGAAAAGGAAGCAGAGACCACCAAAAAGGGTGATGCATGCAAGACCTGAATGTAAATGCATGCAAATGAGACATTTCTTCTTTTTAATAAGCAGATTAATTAACTTTCTGCCCCAGTCATGGCTTGGGGTATCTCCAAGTCACTAGCCAACAGGGGATAAGGTATTGCTAATTCTGTAATTTACACTCTTAAGAATACTCAGGAGGAGAAATACCCCCAAATTGCTGTCTTGATCAGTCCTATTCTGTGACTGTATGAAATGTTTGCAGAGTCCACCCCAAACTTCTAGTGCAACCCAACACAGTGATGTCCCTTGCCAGGATGAGATTAGGGGAGGCATTACACTAAGGCTGCTTGGAACTTGTTCACGAAGACCCCAGGGCAAGCCAGCATGCTTGGTTTCAGGTTTCATTACAAATCCAAAAGCTGGACTAAATTTGCTGCAAGGTTTGTCAAAACACACAACCTTCTAAAGACAGCATTTCAAACAAATTTGGCTTGATTTATGTTTTGGAATGATGGCCACTGCAAAATCTAACGGCTCCTTGTGTTTAGGTTCCCAAACTAAAAGACGCTCCAAGAGTTTAGTGCCTGCCCGAGTTTGTGTTTACGTGGCTGTTTCGGAAGAAGCAAAGTAACACCTAGCAGGCATGTACAGCCCAATATTGATCCAAAAAAAAAAAAAAAAGGAAAAGCTCAAAAATCCATTTAGGGAACTCCTTTCTAATAAGGTTAAATTTTACTCTCATTAATTCTTGCAGACCATTCCAAGTTATCATTGGAAATATTGCTTCCTGTTCATACCTAAAGACTCCAAATTCAGAAATATCTGAAAGTTTATAATGCTTAGGCCACATAGTTTTTCATCTCTGCTACTTCAAGAGTCTCCAAACTGGCCTCCCTGCTCAGATCCACAATTCTATTCTAACTTGTGATTCATCCTTGTTATAATCGGAATGTTGACTGCCGAAAAGAAAACCTGATCTTGCCCCATATTTTCCCTTCAGTGTTTCCCTGCCCCAAGTAAAAAAACGTCCATGCTCCTTAGCTTGGCACACAGGGCTCCTTAAGACCTACACTCTCGCTCTCGTTCTCGCTCTCTGTCTCTATCACACACATACACACCATTTACTTGCTTGCTTGTTTGTTATACCTGGTCTTCCTAAAGTTACAATCTTGATTCATGCATGCACACATTTGTACTTTTATCCCTTGTTTCCTTGCAACTCCTACTCATTTATCTTTCCAATTAAATTGTCTCCTCTCCTCTGAATCGTTTCATTCTTCCTTCACTAATTCATTTATTCCACAGATATTCCATTCACAGTAGAAAGGGGCACGGACCATACCACTGGCCAGAGCACTTTCCAACCCTGCTTCCGCCACTTTTCTGCCCTATGAGCTTGAGTCAGTGACTCCACCTCTCTGTAATTCGGCCACCCCATTTTTAAACTGGAGACAAAGAGAGTAACAATCCAAAGACTGTCGTAAAGGATTAGATGAGATAACGCACTATGATGTATTAGAACCCACACATATAAGTTCTCAAGAAATATCATGCTTGGGCAGCCCCGGTGGCTCAGCGGTTTAGCACCGCCTTCAGCCCAGGGCGTGATCCTGGAGACCCGGGATGGAGTCCCACGTCGGGCTCCCTGCATGGAGCCTGCTTCTCCCTCTGCCTGTGTCTCTGCCTCTCTCTCTCTCTCTATCTATCTATCTCGAATAAATAAAATCTTAAAAAAAAAATATCAGGGATGCCTGGGTGGCTCAGCGGTTGAGCGTCTGCCTTTGGCCCAGGGCGTGATCCTGGGATCAGGGATGGAGTCCCATATCAGGCTTCCTGCAGGGAGCCTGCTTCTCCCTCTATATCTCTGCCTCTCTCTATCTGTGCCTCTCATGAATAAATAAATAAAATCTTTAAAATATATATATATCATGTTTATTGGTAACCTAATATATACTTGGGTGCTAGGGAACATTGGGAGGCCAAGGTGGATAGCAGACAGGCTCCCTGCCTTTCTGCCCCTTGCAAGTCACTGACAGTAAGAGGGGAAACCGCATAGGAGAACTAAAAAGACTCTGGGAACATAATTTCAAATTGTAGTGTGTGCTGGGGCACCTGGGTGGCTCAATGGTTGAGCGTCTGCCTTTGGCTCAGGTCGTGGTCCCAGGGTCCTGGGATCGAGTTCCACATTAGGTTCCACACAGGGAGCCTGCTTCTTCCTATGTCTGCCTCTCTCTGTGTGTCTCTCATGAATAAATAAATAAAATCTTTTTAAAAAAATTGTAGTGTGTGCTATGAAGGGAATACAGTAGTTCCCCCTCATCCGAGGGGGTACGTTCTAAGACCCCAGGGGATGCCTGAAACTGCCGGTAGTACCAAACATATATATATATAAATATATGCTATGTTTTTTCCTACATGTACATATCTCTGATAAAGTTTAATTCATAAATTAGGCACAGTAAGAGATGAACAACAACAATAATAAAATAAAACAATTATAACAATATACTGTAATAAAAGTCATGTGACTATGGTCTCCTCTCAAAATATCTTACTGTACTGTACTCACACCTCTTGTGATGATGTGAGATGATAAAGCCTCTGTATGATGAGAGGAAAGTAGGCGAATGACATAGGCATTGTGACGTAGTGCTGGCCTACCATGATGTGCTGACCATTCGTCAGGAGGAGGAGCATCTGCTTCTGGCTCACAGCTGACGGCTCGTAATTGAAACTGCAGAAAGCAAATCCAGGGAGAAGAGGTGCATAGGTACTACTGCAAATAAAAGCAAGAGATGGAAAATAATGTCCCCATTTGGGTCAGCACTATATCTTCTGTATTCTTCCACTGGAGAATTTACATGTAAATGTGCTAACTGCTGCTGCCCTACGTGGGAGGCACTGTGCTGAGTGGTTTACACAAATATTCTTTACTGATCTCACCATAAACCTATGTGATTGATTCAACCACTCTCCCCATTTTACAGATATGGAAACTGGTGCTTCAAGATGCTATGAAACTTCTTCAAGGGCATACAACTAATAAGTGATAGGGACAAGATTCTAATGCATTTTGCTGCTGGAAGCCCAGGTCCATCCTCATCATTGCGGCACCCCTTTCTTCGACCCCAGTGGCCAGCATGGTACCAAGCCCACAGTAGGTGCTCAAACCATACACACCTAATTAAGTGGAAGAGAAGACAAGAGGATGAAGTGTGTCCCATTACGTGGATTTTATTCTTTGTCCTACTTAATTTCAGGCATTCATTGTCCCCTGCCCCCATTTCTACCCATTCTCCCTAAAGCCTTGCCAAGTTACTCCCACTTTTCTTACTGTCCCAAATCCTCCAGAACATACTCCTAAAATTGCACAGTTAGGTCTTTAACGCTTTGCACAATTAGGTCACCTGGTTGGTTTTGTCACTTCCCTATTTCTTGAGGGACCAACTATGACTCATTTTATTCTGGCCCAGGGCTGAGGATGATAAGTGAGAGAAATGACACACTCATTTTAAGGCTGCAAATCAATTCCTTTGGGAAACCATAGGGAAATTCAATAAGCAATGTTTGTATACCATAGAAGAATGTACAAGCCTAACCCCTGTTGTCACAGTTCTATTTCCCCCAAAGACTGAGCCATGAGTTTACATATAATTTTGTATGGTGAGTGTTAAATAAGCTCCAAAAGTCCTCACACAGACATTGGAGGTGACTTAAAGTTGGCATGACCTTTACACTTGGGACCTCATCTTGCTATAGTCACACTAGGCTTAACCCACAGAATGTTTATTTTTCCTTTA